GGGGGGGGAGTGATGAGCGGAAAGGAGGAGGAAGTGCGTTGCTGGTTTTTGCACTGGATACCTGGGATAGGGGAAGGGGGATATTGTTTGCTTCTACAGTGCGGATAAAGAGGATCTCAGATGTTGCATTGCGAGCAGGATTTGGGGGCAGAATGGAGGGAGGAAATGAAGAAACAAGTTGGGAGTTCTAGACAAGAGCTGGAGAGGGGAGTAAAAGGAAACGACAACACAGCATTACAAAGAAAATCAAATTAAAGCGAACTTAAGCTTATGAATAAAAGCGAAAAAAAAAATCGGACAATCCAGACCTATGGACAAAAGCAAGAAAAAACCTCAGGCTGGAAAGCACCGAGCGGGCCAGAGCTGTCTTGCGTTTTTACACTGTTTCGTATTATAGCGAGATCGCAAGAAATCACTGTAACTTACCTAAATTTTGAATTTTTTTATTTTCTTTTCGTTCTCGAGTCAGAAATTTTCCCGCTAAAACTTTCACGTGTTCGTACGTGTGTCCCGCGCGGTCTAGGGAGCTAAATTTGAAGTCTTTTGGCCATACATGAGCAGGGAAAATTCCCCTAAAGTTTCAACTTTCTGGCTTTTCTCGCTCCCGGGTTAGCGATCTTCCCTCCAAAGTTTTCACGTGCTCGTACGTAGGACGTAGATGTACGTGACATCTCAGGTTATTAATTTTGGCGCCAGTACCTTCACTCATGTACGGACAAGTGAAGGTATCAGTAGCTTGTAAATCGCAGAAGTTAGGGAGCTGAAATTTTGAGGAGATATTCTCTGCCGGTATGCAGATTCAGTCCTCGTGCACACCTACCTCTGTGCGGCTGCGTGAAAGTTTTGGTGTCAGAACTAAGAAATCCGTAAACAAAAAAAAACTGTAAAGCTGAAGCATTAGGAAAATACTCCCTGCCTGTATAGGATCAGATAGTAAAGCAATGAATACTTGTAACAGCAGAGCCCCTTGGACAAAGTTGCACGAAACTCATGATCGCATTGATGGAGTAGCCTTTTGGTGTCTTTAATGATGGAGTAGCTTTCATTGATGGAGTAACCTTCCGTTTGTTATATTCAAACCACTGGTGTCGCTATAATAGTGACGTGAAGTTAATAAGGCAGTGACGTGACGTTG